ATTATACTTTGGCTGTTGGACAAGACAAGTATTTTTTTCTAACATTGTTCATTCTACCACTATAAAAGTACTGGATATGTTTCTTGAAGATTATGAACCGCATAATACTTGTATATACACACAAACATTTAAAAATGTGTACCAACAAGATTTGACTGCAGTTCTCTCTCTCTCTGTATGTATGTATATATATATATGGTCAAGAATAGTATATACTACATTTTGCATCTAAGATCTTCATGTATATTTGTTCATATATTATATGGTTTTTGACATTTATCAATTTTAGTGATGTGTGTAGAATACCTCATGCATGTACAGATAAATAAATTATAGTTTAAGAAGTTATATATATATATATATACACACACAAACACATATACATACATACATATATATATATATATATAAATAACAGATTAAAGCATTTTGAAAATTCTTCCCAGATATTGCTGTCAAACTTGACTGTAGACAAAAGCACTGTAAGAATATTGTTGCATTAACTTAAATATGTTTGTTACTGAGGGTTTGTAACTTAAAGAGATGTTTATTTATGTCTATAGTTTTGTTTTGTGTTTAAATATTCATATGTAGGTGCTAGACTTTCACAGTTCAGTATTTTCAGGAACTTGTATGGCTCCTTAGAAATCCACATGGAGTGTTTTTTAGTAATAGAATAAACAATGTGAAAGAGGAGAAAAAAATATAAAAACTTGTCCATCAGCCATGGCCAAAGTGTAATCTTCTTTTCTTGGGTGTTGGATGATATGAATTCCATATTCCTGATGTAGAACTCCAACAGTCTTACATGGAATTCGTTGGTTTTTAAAACATTTTCTAAACTATTTACTCATCATTTCTGGGTCTTTAGCTTTGTTGACTACAAGTTCTCTAATAACATGAGTCACACAAAATATGTAAAGAAACATACCATCAGTACCGCAATTCAATCAACTTAATTATTGCTATGGTCACCTATGTATTTAACATAAAAAAGTGAATAATTTAATCCAGTTTTTGCTCAGTTCTTCGTACTGAATACTGTAACAAGCAGATATAAAACTACTCAGTATAATGCAGTTATGTGAACCCCAGTAGTAGTGAGTGGTATAAAACAAAGTAATAATTTAGAGTTAATATTTTTTGGTATAGGAAATATTTATGTTGTGAAACAGATTTTGTTGTTTACTGTAGTGTAATGTAGATGGAATGTGAGTTGCCCTTACTCACCATAAGTAAACTACTTCTATAGTTATATTGATAAACTTCAAGAACCATCAGTACAATTGAATTATTCCTCTGAACTCGCCTGGATAGGGCACCCAACTCGCAATCTGCGGGTCGCACCAAACATTCTCGTGCTTTCGACCATGGGAGCGTTATAGAGTGACAGTCAATCCCACTATTCATTGGTAAAAGAGTAGCCCAAGAGTTTACGTTGGGTGGTGATGACTAACTGCCTTCTCTCTAGTCTTACACTGCTAAATTAGGAACGGCTAGTGCAGATAGCACTCATGTAGCTTTGCGAGAAATTCAAAACAAACAAACAATCCTCTGAACTCTTTAGAGAACAAGTGGTAAAAATATATTTTATCATTAATTGTGAATTTCACTGAAACTAATAGCTAGAATTAAAAAAGCTTCTGGTAATCGATTCATTTTTTGGAAAACGTAACTTAATAATAAAATATTGTAATAATAAATATTAAAATGAATAATAAAATAATGTAATATTAGGAAACATTTATTAAAGGTACGGAATAAATCTAGAGTTATGGAACAAACACAGTTGTAATTACAACAGAAATATAATGTAAATTGTAATACAGAAATAAACAGTTTGAATAAAGATCATGTGTCTATTGCACATTGTTCAAGTCTCGTCTGCTTATACTCACGTGGAGACCGTAAGGCCTCCTATGTTGGTAAAGTATGAGCATGTGAACACATGGGCATATCTATAAAAACTGGCAGAAAGGTTATAAACCTTTCCAACTCCACTGTCTATCAACACAATACAGAAACAGGACATTCAATTTCTCTCTCCAACTTTAAAATTCTCTCAACAGCCAAACATGATACTGAACTTCTAATTAAAAGAGAAGTTATACATAAAAACTCTTCTTCCACCTCTAAATAATACACATTCTTCACTGGATTTAAATCTATTTAAATTTTATCTATTTCATTTGTGCTACATACATTTCATTTTCTTTTCTTGTACTTTTATATTCAAATTGTTTACTTATGTATTACATATTATATCACATTTCTGTTGAAATTTCCATTGTGTTTGTTTTGTATCTCTAGATTACTGATGATGGAATTTTGAAGATTCCAAAACATTTAATAAATGCTTCCTATTATTATATTAATATTGTGCTTTATTATTAAAAACATTATTACAATAAATTCCTCTATAGTGCAGCTTTTATCTGATTCTTTTTTGTTGGAGGTTAACCTGTTATAAAAGTTAAGTATGTAATATGTGATGTAGAAAAGTTGAGTCTAAAACATTTTTCAAGCCAAAAAGGGACATGCATTTTAGTGATTATTCCTTAATTTGAATATTTCAGTAATATCAACTTTATTTTATAAACTCATTTCTGAGTTGTTGTTTTTAGAAACTTTAAATTTTGAATTTTTATTATTTTTAGAAACTTCTTTAAATCCGAACCTCAGCAGAGCTGTAACAATGATGAAAAGACAAAAGGACAAAGCAAAGGAAAAGCACCAAAGAAAGATTCCGTGAAAAAGAAGACGAGAAGCAGGTGGGAAATATAATTCTAAATTTCATTTTTGATACACGATCATTTTAAATAAGTTTTGAATTACGTAATGTAAAAGGTTTGAAATTGAATTATTCTATATTAAACTAAACAATGGAGAAAATTATATTCTATAGTATTTAAAATTTTTAGGCATTATTATAAGTATTCTTCTTTCATCATTAAATTGCTGCAGTGAGATAACTGTTAAAGATATTCAAAAACTAAACTTAAATGTAAATTTAAATTTTTAATCAGCTGCCCTTCAAATAATATGAGTTATATTTACTCTGTTAGTTCCCCAGCTAAGATAGAGAATGATTCAATGGATAAAGGTGAAGCAGAAAATTCTACAAAAGAACAGAATGACTCAATAGAATTTCCTGAACGTGAATCTCCTGTAAAAAGCTCTACTAGAAAAAGGCTCAATCGGCTCATTGACAGTGAAGACGAGGAAGAAATAAGTGACAAAAGTCCCAGAAAATCCAGATATTCTTGCACTGAAAACGAGGAAAAATCTTCCAGTGAAGATAAAACAAGAATTGATAATGTGAGCATGAAAGTTTCCATTTAAAGTAGTCGACACTTGTATGTATTAACCAACAATCCAGAAATGATTTTATAACTGTCATTGACTCACTCTGTCTTATTGTTTATGATGTGCTTGCAATTTAGCTCTTATTTGAAGTGGAGAATGTCGTTAACCTTGACTGCTAAAGCTAAGACACAGTTTTTAAAATAATTGTCCATGTTGTAAAATTTTTACCAAAACCTTTGCCATAAAGTTAAGAGTAAATTAACAAAAGAAAAATTTAAATGGCACTGATTTAATAAACAGCTGTATTTTCTGATAAAGTAACAAATTGAAAATTACTGCAGGTTATTCTATAGCAATCCACTGCTGTCTGAATAAGCTTATTACAGGTAGATGCTGTTCATATTATGTACAAACTTAAATAAAAAAATCTCATTTCCTTACAATTGGGTATGAAAAAGTTTAGGGAATGTATACATGATTTACTTCTTTAGTATGAACTAACAATAGAATCACTAATTATATTCAGACGCTTATTTTAATTTTCATATGTCTTTCATTTTGTTAATTATTTGAAGTATTTAGTTGTAAACAAAAAATTTTTTGTGTCATAATTTCAGTCAGCGGAAGTTAAACCAGACAAAAAAACTAAAGCACATTCTAAAGAAAATCTACCACCATCTACATCTGGTGATCAGAAATCTCCACCCACAACTCAGTCAACTGAGACAATTCCTAAACGGAGAACAGGTAGTAATTGTGTATTATATTTGAAAAGTGAAACTAAATTTTGAACTTCTTAGAAAAGATTGAATAAAGGACTTCAAAGAACAACTTCATTTAGCTCAGTAAAATGTCACGACATTGATGTGCATTTATTTTCCCAAATTTATTATCAGTGTTTTATCGATCTTCCTGTTACACTTTATAAAAATGCTTTATAGTGACTTACTTTGTCTAACTATATTCATGCTATCTTTTCATTCTTATTATCAATTCTGAAGCACTAGAAACAATAGAAATTTACTGTATATTTATTTTGCTTTATGGTATCACACCATGTTTGGTAGTAATTCAAGACGATCTACACAGTTAATCGAGACTGATGTTAGGAAGAAGTACAACAATTATTGTATTGATACTCATTCTGCTTTAGGTGGGATTGTTGGAAGGAGAGACAAAAATATAAACCTTAAGTATACTAGAGGTATTCAGAGACAAATTATTTAGTCACGTTATTTTTTTTGTAATATCAGGAATGGGTGACAGTCATCACAATGATCTGATAATGAAACTATTATGATCATTATGATTCAGCAATTTTAAATGTTTGGGACTAGCTCTTACCTTTTACTTTTTCACCATAAAAAAGGGTGTGGCTAAGTTGTCATTAAGATTCCATATGCTCTTGAAGTTCCTTTCCATAATTACAGTACAGTTGTTTTCATTCCTTCGTGACAGACGGTGCTCCCAGAAATTTCAATTTTTGTTAACCCCCTTTAATAATGGAAGAAGTGCATTAGAAACGTAAAGATCTAACCCTTAAAGAAAAAGTTGCCATTTTAGAATGCTATGATAAGTTACCAAAAATTGGGCAACGTAATGCAGCAGTGTGATTAAAAATAAAACATTTCCCAACCTCTTTTGTGTAAAATTTTAAAAAAGTCAAACCGAAATTGAGAGGGGAGCAAAACAGAATGAAAACTGTAAGAGAAAGTGCAGTGGAAAATATGACCAGGTTGAATTAGCATTAAAACTTTGGTTTACTAATGTTCGTGAACAAGATGCTCGTGTAAACGGACCAATGGTGTGGAAGAAAGCAGCGTACAGCACAGATCAGGCGAGTTTCATAAACAGTACGAATATGAAAGTTTTATTAAGGAGTTGTTCCCAAAAAATAGTAGACAGTCAACTTTAAATGAATTTTTTCTAATTCTTGTTTTAATTGTTTTAAATATGTCAATAAACATAAAAATCCAGCTTTCAAACTTTTAGGTAATATGTTCTCTACCTTATATCAATAAACATTACTGTAACTGCTGAATTTTTATTTCATCGGTTAACGTTGTCATTTGGTTATTGTTATCAATGCAACTGTGTCCCGAAGTGATCAAAATAAGAGGCATCCAGTGTGTATATATAAATGCACAAGTTGAAACAGTAATTAGTTATGATTGGTGGAAAAGGGTTAGTACAAATATAAGAAGAACCATTGGCAGTCCCTAGTTTTTCAGCATAATTTATACAAAGTTACTAGGGGAAATTATGCTTTATCACACAATACATGGGACTTTTAGTACTTCTACATGAAATAATGGTGATAGAAACTATCGATTTTAACTGTTGTAATATGTGATAATAATTCAAACTTTAGTACATCATGATCTTCCTCTAAAATGATAATTTACTAAGTTCACAATCATCATTTGATGCTAAATGACATCTGAGGTTCGAAGTAGCATATAAAGACACCTTGATTTCCTTGCCCATTCCATTTGAAAGATCAGCGTAAATATTGGATGCCTATGTATTGCAACTGAAATATAAGTAAGTATCATGTGCATGTATGAAATGAAGAAAGGTGTATTCGGAAAAAGCGAACAGTTTTTTAATCGATATACATTATAAAGTTTGCTTTCGGTATTTTAAATTTCCAACTTAAATTGGAAGTTTTCTCAATTTGTTTTACAAAAATTGATATATCCGAGATATATTACCTAGATACATACACACTTGTTATTTTGTTGATGAGATTCAAAAATAAGCGTAGAGCAAAGCCGTGTTATTAGGCCGTTTTTGTTATTGTGAACAATAGATAGAATTAATTTTTTGAGAAGTGCATAGACATTTGTATTTATTTATTTAGGCATACAGCTTAGTCTTAGAAAATGCATTTGTGTGTGTTAGCTTTCAAAACATCCTTGGACAACCTAACTTTTTTTATTCCTTACTTTTGTTACTCTGGATTTGGAAAAAAACTGATTTACTTAGTTATTCTTCTGAATTTAGTAAATATCACCTTGAAAAGAGTTTCATGCTATATTTTTGCTTTAACAGTCTACGCATTAATTTTTAAATTTGAACCTTTAATATGGAAGAAAAGTAATTCAACATACACTAGAAAAATACATTTTAATTTACTGTATTTAAATGTGAACTTACATTTTGATAAATAATTAAACTTTTGTTTGATCATACTTTTCCATCAAAATTAAGTAACGGGTTGAACAGTCGCCAAGTTTTTTATATTTTAATCAAAAGAAGGATGACTTGGTGATTGTTCAACCTGTTATTTAATTTTGACATATTCGTCGCCTATGCAGTTTTAACTATATTTGTCTCTTCATACTTTTTCTATCACTTAGCTCGGAAACACATGAAAAGGAAAGTACCAGCTGAACATACCGAGTTAGATGAAATGGCAGTAGGCCAGAAGAAGCTAAAGAAAGAAGAGGAAGTGAATGCAGAAGAAAAACCAATCAACTCTGTTAGTTCAGATGAACAGTGCTCTAAAGAAGAAAGTGATAGTGAAAATAAGGTTAAGAAAAAGGAGGAAAAAACTGAAAAACAAACAGACTGCAATGAAAATGAAGAAGAAAGCAAAGGCTCTATTCATTCATTCTTTGGTATGTTTAGGCTATATAACTATTTCTATAATATATGTAAAATTTTTCAGTTTTTATATGAAATATAACTACATTTTTTATACAGTTCAGATTTGATAGTTTATTTCTAAATTGATGCAACCAATGTAACCATCATTTTTAAATATTAAAATTCAGTTAACTAAATATTAGAAAAACATATGCTCTTTTTAGTCAAAACATGTACCTTTGCTTGAATAACACAAAAATAGAATGCTATTTGTTTTTAACTTTTCTTTTAAATTTAGTTATTAGAAAATGTTTTGGTTTGAATTGATAAAAAGAGTTTTTAGCAATAGCTGGTGTGTTAACTCTTTAGCTCAGATGGTAGAGTATGTGTCTTGTGGGAGGTTGTGTTTGACCCTGAGTGTGAGAGATGCAAAAACGGGGCTCCCACATGTATAAAGTGAGATTTGCGTAAATATTTTTACCTTACACAAAAAAAACAAAAGAGTTTCTTTGGCTTATATTTATTTAATATGATCTCTGAAATGTTTTTGAGGATAGATTAACAAGATTCATCCATTTGTGATCTCCTAACCATCATAAGTGGATATAACTTATGTTAATCTAAAAATAGTTTATTATGTAATTTTCTTTACAAAGTATGTGTTATCTTGGTGCAATCGTATTAATAAATTTTTAATAAAGCAGTTAAATAATCATTAAAATTGTATAATAATTTTCAGTAGTGGAAAGAAATATTTCTGTTTAAAAATCAATTAAGCCTTGACAACAATTAGGAATAATTACTTTTTCTAAAAGAATAGACATTTGGGTATATATACATCAATCTACAGAAAATGAAAAGTTTTTCTGTTACTGCCATGTTTGTAGAGAATCACACATGATGTTACATTTGTTTAGAGAAAGTTGCCTGCAATATCTCACAGATGATTGTAATAATTATTAGGTATTATTATGGATTTGATATGTAACATTTATGTCTTCTAAAATTAATTATTAATTTTATTGCATACCTTCATTTCAAAACATTTTTGTAATATCATACTTTGTAAAGTTAAAATGTGGCATTAATGTAGTGGGAAACATGTGTGCACACACCAGTGGAAGAGTTAAAACCATACATGTATTTTCATATTAAATTAAAATAGAATTTTTTTAACTGCCCCCTGGAATAAATGCAGTATAACCACAGTTTATTGCTTTTAGAATATTGAAGAATGTTTCTTATTCCTTAAATGATAACCTTTGTGGAACTGAAAAATTTAGAAACATGTATGTAAGTTTTTGATAAACTAATATTTATGTACGAAAAAATGCAGGATTAAAATTTTGTAATAAAAAACTGTAATTAATTTAAACTACAGTAGAGTAACTGAAAAGTGTATTTGATAATGAAGATTTTAGTGAGAGAAAATTGTGATAAATAAAACTAAGTTTTTTTTTGTGTGTTTTTCTTCACAAATGACATGCATTGTTTATTCTTGTAACATCTGAGAAAAAATAACTTCTTACTTGTACAGTGAGTGTTAATGTCTGTAATTGTAACCATTTGCATTGGAAATAACCTCTAATCTTATGTTAAAATAGTTTAAAATTAGTTATTTAGTGATCATAAATAATTATAACTAACCATATTTTACATTCTTTATCTTTCTTTCCAAATTTATTAGCTCCAAAAAAAGCTAAGACTAAAACAGTAGAACATGCAGAAAAAGAATCGAATAATGTGGAAGAAGCAACAAACAAGTGAGAATTTTCAAAGATTTTAAACAGTATGTTCAAGAAGGTGCAAAATAACAGTTTATGAAAACAAAATTCTGTTGGTTTCTTGTGCAAAGGGCTCTCAAGTTTTATTTTGAACTAAAAATTACACTTTATGTTTGTTTTAACCAGATTTACCGAGTTTTAAAAGTTAAATGCTGAAGTTCAGAGTTATTCCTTTGTATCATATTTAAAATTTGAAGACATTATACTATTCTAAGTAGTAAAGCATTAATTTGAAAATATATTTAAACATAGGAAAAAATGTGTTAAAAGTAAACAGTGATTTTTCCTGTGATGAAATATTTAATTCATGTATATTTTATTTTTATAGACAGAACGTAATATTTTGGTAAAAACTTGAATATCAATTGATATTTTACCTTTTTTTATTTTTTTTAGATCAGAAGCATTGAAACCTTCCAGTAGTGAAAAAAACTCTTATAACCCTGCTAAAAATAAATACCATCCTATAGAAGACTGTTGTTGGAAGAGAGGTGAAAAGGTACCGTATCTGGCACTGGCTAGGACTTTGGAAGAAATAGAAAGTGTTAGTGCAAGGTATGTATGTAACCAGATATTTCTGGTGTTGAACAATAAAAAGAGCTTTCTAACATTAGTGTTAATAGAATGGATTATAAAGAACTCTTTATGTGATTTTTCAAATTTAACTGTTTTGTGAAGTAATATATATATATATATATATATATATTCATTTACTGTGCTGACCCACATTATTTCTAATCATCATCGTTGTATTTTTATGGAGCTGGGCATGACCTAGTGGCCAGTTTGTTTCAATTGTGAGTCTGAAGATTAATATTTTGTGACCTTTCAGAAAGCTTATGAAATGTTGTACATTTTTCACTTGTATTAAAGTTTCGTTTATCACCCATTAAAGATGTCTGCACACTTTATTTTCTAAAAGTGGGTTCCTCGTCATTAAATTATAGGGAAGGCAGCTGGTCAACAGCACCCACCACCAAATCTTAGGCTACTCCTATAAGACCAAATAGCAAAGACATCACTCTTATAAAGCACCCATGGTTCCAAGGTGCAGAGAGAGAAAGAGCTCGTTTTTGTGACAAGATGTACACTTCTTAATTGTAATAAAGTATCTTTCATTATCCATTCAAGCCATCCCCAAACTTTATTTTGCCTGCCATCTAGACTTATCAGTTCAAAATTGGGGATGGCTATGTGCAACTAAATCTTTGTGTAGCTTTGAATGTAAATTGTGAACCAAACAAGTAAGAAAACACATTATCTTTGAACATTACTATTTTTAGCTGTTTTTTCTTTCTTCCCAAAAAAATTCTGAAGGTGATGGCCATTTTGAATACCTAAGGCATCAGAAAGGTTTTTCTATGTTCCACTGTTCTTCATTAACCTTTAGTACAGTCCAAATCTCCAAAAGCACATCTCCTGTTTACACTAATTTGCACATATATATATATATATATATCTGGTAACTGGAACACAGCAGGGATAATTTCTGTAATATCCTACTTCCCTACTTAAGGTAGATACTGTTTTCTGTTACTTTGAGACTTTCCTGTATTTATGTTATTTTTTCATCTACTACCCATGTAGAGGTTCATAATACATTTAACACACTGTTTTTAACACTTTTACTACCACATTTATATATAAACAATTCTTCCAGTGCCAGGTTTATTTTTAGATACACACTAAGAAACCAAAAGATGCATGTTTTAACATTTCATTATTTATCTGAAACTTAAACTTTTGGAAAATTTGAAAGGGAATACTATTTCCTCCTGGTGGTACAAAGTCATTTACAGAACTCGACATAGATGGGAACTGGCACCCCATGGGGTTGACAGAGTTAATATTATATTTGTTCCTAAATTAATGCATTTCCTCCTACATCCAGCTGTTGCCTTATGGATTTGAGTTGACATCCACTTGAGTATGTACTCGTAGTGGAAAGCTCTGTAGCTTTCAGGAACAGAGAGAGAAAGGTTACTACATAAATGGGAATTTGATGAGTCAAGATAAGAGCTTACAGTTAGATCTTTTAAGTATTGAGGAATGCCCATCCAGGGTTTGAAATTCAGTTTCACGACAAAATGTAGTTTTTTTTTTATTGTATTCCCTACTCGTTTTAAAATCATTTTATAATATAAATGTTAATTGGCAAGAAACTTTTTTATTATTTTTTTCGTTTGAAATTTTGTTAATTCTGTTATGAGGAATTATATACAATAATGCTTGTTTGTTTTTATTAATTTTAATGGTGTTTAGTGTACCTGATGAAGCTGGTAGAAAGTTGTCATAAAAAATTTGTTTTTGATAACCAGAAAAGTGATTTAATAATTAAAATATAATAATAGTAGCCCCCCCCCCCTTTATTATATTGAAATACAATGGAAATTCTTATACTATTTTTATGCATTTTATTTTTAGTTTTAAGCATCAATTATGCTGTTTTCAGGTTAAAAATGATAGAAATTTTGGCCAACTTCTTCCGATCTGTGATAGTCATGTCGCCCGATGATTTACTGTGTGCTGTGTACCTGTGTTTAAACAAGTTGGCTCCAGATTATGAAGGTATAGAACTTGGTGTTGGAGAAACAGTACTGATGAAAGCAGTAGCCCAAGCAACAGGCAGAACACTGGAAAAGATTAAAAATGATGTATCAAATAAAGGGGATTTGGGAATTGTAGCAGAGGTAAACAAATTTTAGATTGAATATATTTCAATAATGTGTGGAAATTATTATATTTAATTAGTAAAAAAGCCCGTCAATAATGACGATAAACCAAAGCCTGCCAAATTTGAATTCTTCAATATGTATTTGCAACTTTGCCGTCCGTAAACAGACATGATAAAAATAAAAGACCTTCTAGCTTCAGGAAACCAAAACCTATCACGAGCAATATCTGCTTTATCTGAAGAGTGTCTCTTCCCAGCATTAATTGATCACAGACATTTTCTTCTTTCGGGTATCGAAACCAGATTATTAACGTTACTAGTATAAAAGCCTATCAGAAATGACAGGAAACCAAAGCCTACCAAATCTGAATCCTCCAATATGCATTTGTAACTTTGCCGTCCGTAAACAGACAGGATAAAAATAAAAGACCTTCTAGCTTCAGGAAACCAAAGCCTATCATGAGCAATATCTACTTCACCTAAAGAGTGTCTCTCACCAGCATTGATTCTTGTCCCAGTATTCATTGATCACAGTTATTTTATAATCGCATCAAATGCATTATTGCAATAGTTCTCTTAAAACCACATTTCTTGTAAATACTCCCTCCTTGACAGACTTTTATATAGCAGAAAAAGTGCTGAAACTTAGGAGCTATTTACTCCTATGTTAGTGATTGAATTCAACTAAAATTAGAACAGGCAATCAAAAGGGGGAGTATAATAGGATAAAAAGTGGAACTGGATTCGTGTAACTCATGAAATGTGGAGAAATCGAGTGAGACCAACTGACTGACCACCCGACACTTGACTTTTATGTTTGTTAATTTTATGTAATCATTTTATGGGTATTAACTACAGTTGTAAAATCCCAAAGATATAATTGATGAAGGAAAAATTGTTTCTGCAGGAAAGCGGATGTATTACTGAATGCATCAGAGTAGTTTGTTTTCTCTTAAAAAGTCTTTCTTTTTCTTTTACTTTAAAATAATAGAAAACCTACTTGACAGCTTGATTCTCATATATGTTTTGTACGTTGTGCTAAAAAAACATAAAAAATCTTGTCTGATTATTTAGTATGATAAAAAATAATACTAGTTTACCTTGAATGTGAAATATTTATTATTTTATTTATTTTTTTTAGACAAGTCGCAGCAACCAAAGAATTATGTTTGCACCACCAAAGTTAACTCTTGCTGGAGTTTTTTCAAAACTTAAAGAAATTGCTCAAATGACAGGGAATGCTGTAAGTATATTTTTTATTTATACAAAAGTAGTGAATTAATGTGCATTTTTGAGAGTGATAGTTTATTTATTTTGTTTAGTGATTAATCTATATTTGCCAGCCGAACATGTTTTTTATTTTAATACAGGCTTGCTGCTGTTGATAAAACACTGAACTGAAGTGGTTAGTTGTCACTGATGTATGTTGTTTCCAACAAAATTATATTTCTTTCTTGGAATAGCCATTTGTAGCACGAATTGTGGCACAATATATTGCTTAAAAGTTAAAGTGTAACAACCAGTTTTTTTTTACCCATCTTCTTTCTAATATACAAAATTTCATTAAACTTGATTCATGAGATATTAATAAACGTATGGTAAATTACATTAAAAAATAAATTATAACTCATTAACTATACCTATGGGCTGTAATAACTGATGGCAAGATAAATAATGGGTGGGTAAGGTAGAAGATGAACATAATTTTAAAATGTAATAGAAATTGACATTGATTTGTTATTTCTTAGATAGGAAGTGTAGGAGGGTGAAAGTGTGTTTGTAGCTCAACCTTTCCATTAGTATTGGTATTTTTAATAATCTAATGCACTAATAGAATCAACATGAAATTCACATTTTCTTCACAGCAGTTTGGGCAAAGTTAAGCTATGTTGATTTAATGCATTGTTTATAGAGTCTTTTCATCTCACCATTCAGTAGCCTAAATTAATTTAGGTACGTGAATAATGTTGTGGGGCCTAGCACAGCCTGGTGGTTAGGGTGCTCGACTCGCAATGTGAGGGTTGCGAGTTCGAATCCCTTTCGTCGAACATGCTCCTCCCGTATAGTTGCCATCCGGACTGGTCACTTGGGTGTAAAAATTCTTGGTTTACAAAATTATCAGCCGACCACAAACTTAGTTGGGACTAAGGTCATTACAGAGAAGAAGAAGATATAAATAATATTGTGGCATGGCATCAAATTTACTATTTGTTATTATACTGTGGACCAACTGTTTGATGGTATTAAAGATTTCATTTTTAACAAAAGTCAAATTGAAAATATAATCTGTGACACATAGTCTAATTAATTATTATTGGTTCTAGTAGAGTCGAAAGTACTCAAAATATGTATGTAATAACTGTTATTAAACACCCTATGTTTAATAAGTTATTACATATACTTTGAGTTACATATACACTAAGTACGTTTAATAACAGTTGTTACATATACACTAAGTACGTTTAATAACAGTTATTACATATACACTAAGTATGTTTAATAACAGTTGTTACATATACACTAAGTACGTTTAATAACAGTTATTACATATACACTAAGTATGTTTAATAACAGTTATGAGAACTGTTATTAAACGTACTTAGTGTATATGTAATAACTGTTATTAAACGTACTTAGTGTATATGTAACAACTGTTATTAAATGTACTTAGTGTATATGTAACAACTGTTATTAAATGTACTTAGTGTATATGTAATAACTGTGATTAAACGTACTTAGTGTATATGTAACAACTGTTATTATACGTACTTAGTGTATATGTAACAACTGTTATTAAACGTACTTAGTGTATATGTAATAACTGTGTTAAACAAACTTAGTGTATATGTAACAACTGTTATTAAACATACTTAATGGAAACTGATTTTAGATTGTAGTGCCTTCCTCTGTGTATATTTCAATGTTGTATTTAGCTTTTTGTAGAATCATTTAAAGGAATTTTTGTCTTAATACATTGTTCAAAATAATTAAGGTATGCAGGTTTTGTCTGTACATATAGATTCTTGATTGTTCTCAAATGTTTTAGGCCTTTGATTACATATATCATTGTTTAGTGGAAGAGTTATCAAGCTGGACTTGACTGAGATGAATCTGTTTCATTAAAAATTTTTTCAGGCAATGACCAAAAAAATGGACAAAATTCAAGGACTATTTGTTGCCTGTCGTCATTCAGAAGCCAGATATCTCATCAGATCTCTTGGTGGAAAATTGAGAATAGGCTTGGCTGAGCAGTCTGTACTATCTGCATTAGCTCAGGCTGTTGTCCTTACTCCTCCAGCACAGAGTTACCCACCTGAGGTTATTGATTTGTCAAAGAACTTGAGTGCTGAAAACCTTAAGAAAAAGCTTGAAGAAGGCACCCTAATATTGAAAACTGTTTATTGGTAAACTGATTTCTTGAGACCTTGACTACCCAGAACTCTTCTGTAGTGGTGAAAAGAAAGTTGAATTTATTCTTGTATATTTTATACAAAAATCTCATTGAATTCATATTTTGTTTAATTAAATTAAAATAAAAAAATTTTTAAAGCGACAAAATCTTGAAATATCACAATTTTCGGAAGTTTATTTAGTAAATAATGCATTGGTGATTATCAAATATTTTATACTGCCTGAATTTCTTGACCATGTGTAGAGTGTAATCTTTATAGAATAAGTGTAACCTGAGAACTTTTTATATGTGTTCCCTCTAAATAGTGAATGTCCAAACTACAACATGATTATCCCAGTTATTCTCAAAGAAGGATTAGAAGCACTGCCTGACCGTTGTCGTTTAACACCTGGAGTTCCCCTGAAACCCATGCTAGCTCATCCGACAAAGGGAATAGAAGAAGTGCTGAAGCGTTTTGAAAATGCCAAGTTCACTTGTGAATACAAGTACGATGGAGAGAGAGCCCAGGTATTGAACCTAATTACATTGGGTATAACTAGGGGTGAAACTCTGTTTAAAAAATGCTAATACTCGTATGTATTTACAACAAAGGATTTTGCTTATGTGTAATTTATGATACTTGCAAAATAATTGCAGTCAAATTAGTATCATTATTGCAACAGTTCTTTAAATACAGCATTTCTAGAATAATAAATTAGTATCATTATTGCAACAGTTCTTTAAATACAGCATTTCTAGAATAATAAATTAGTATCATTATTGCAACAGTTCTTTAAATACAGCATTTCTAGAATAATAAATTAGTATCATTATTGCAACAGTTCTTTAAACACAGCATTTCTAGAATAATAAATTAGTATCATTATTGCCACAGTTCTTCTTTAAACACAACATTTCTAGAATAATAAATTAGGATCATTATTGCAACAGTTATTCTTTAAATACAGCATTTCTAGAATAATACACAAGATTTCTAATCAAAGACACAGAAATCTGTTAGTCCTAGTCCACTTTATTAAAAAAAGTACATTCTCTTTTTTGTTAAAGAGTTAAATTAACACTGTAACTTGCTTTAGTTGGGGCTAAACTTTACCATACTTAATATTATCAGTAAGTAAACTTATAATGTTATTCTGCGACCTAACTTTAGACCTTTTTAAAAATTTTGATAAGCTTTTAATATGTTGTTGAACAAAATGTGTACTAAAGTATATTTACTTCTGTTTTTCATTTACTTCCGTTGAAATACAGTGCATTTACATGTGCATTTAGATTGTTAGGTGAGCATTTTCAGGACAGACCAAAAACTGAATATTATTATTATTATAGATAGTTTATTAAGAAACAAAGAAAACACATATGGCCATTGTCTTGATGGTTTTAGATAAACATATTTTAAACAACTAATTTAAAAATTTTATAATTGTAAATTTACTTCAGATGTTTTGTTTTGCTTCCCATTCTATTGAATGACATTATATGAGCTAATATCAGGGGTGGGACTGATCATGGTGCATCAGCCAAATAAAACACATCATTTTGATATATATATATCATTATTGACCAATCATAAAAATCACACAGCCAGATGAAACTATCCAATTGGTTTAATAATGATTGACATTAAAGCTGGTAAATAACTTGTCTTGATGATCTTGTTGCCAACAAAAACTAATGTTGTAAGGTTATTTATTAACTCATTTATAGAACATTTAATGATTGTTTAGGTTCTGTGAGTTGTGACATTCTGACAATATGATAGGAAGCATGCTGGTGGGACTGACTACCGTCATTTACCCCCTTGGTATAACAGAACTTTGGAGTCATTTACCCCTGGGTATAACAGAACTTTGGAATCACTTACCCCTGGGTATAACAGAACTTTGGAATCACTTTCCCCTGGGTATAACAGAACTTTGGAATCATTTACCCCTGGGTATAACAGAACTTTGGAGTCATTTACCCCTGGGTATAACAGAACTTTGGAGTCATTTACCCCTTGGTATTACAGAACTTTGGAGTCATTTACCCCTGGGTATAACAGAACTTTGGAATCATTTACCCCTGGGTATTACAGAACTTTGGAGTCGTTTACCCCTGGGTATTACAGAACTTTGGAGTCATTTACCCCTGGGTATAACAGAACTTTGGAATCATTTACCCCTGGGTATAAC